ATGGGATACCTGTAATACTCTCAACAATAAAGATAAATTTAAAAAGTAAAAAAAAAAAAAATCAACATCTATTTATGATTTTTTAAAAATACTCTCAACCAAGTGGATATAGAAGGAATATAACGCAACATAATAAAGGCCATATATAACAAACCCACAGCTAACATACTCAGTGATGAAAAACAGAAAGCTTTTCCCCTAAGATCAGGAACAAAACAAGGATGTTTATTTTTGCCAGTCTTCTTCAACATAGTATTGGAAGCCCTAGCCATAGCAATCAGACAAGAAAAAGAAATGAAAGGTATCCAAGTTGGAAAGGAACAAGTAAAACTGTCACTGTTGCAGGTGACAAGCTATATATTGAAAACCCTGAAATGTCACCATTGCAGGTGACATGATATTACGTATGGAAAACCTTAAAAATTCCATGAAAAAAACTCTTGGAACTAATAAATCACTAAAGTTGCAAGATTCAGAAATCTGTTTTATTTCTATAAACTAATAACAAATTATCAGAAAAAATTAAGGAAACAATCCCATTTATAATTAAATCAAAAAGAATAAAATGCCTAGGAATGAATTTGACCAAGAAGGTAAAAGACCTGTACTCCGAAAACTAGAAGACATCAAAGAAATTAAAGAATACACAAATAAATGGGAGGATATACCATAATCATTAATGGGAAAAATGAATATCATTTAAATGTCCATAATCCCCAAAGCAATCTAGGGATTCAGTGCAATCCCTATCAAAATACCAATGTCATTTGTCACAGAGATAGAACAAATAATTCTAAAATTTATGTGGAATCACAAAAGGCCTGAAGAGCCAAAGCAATCTTGAGAAAAGAGAACAAAGTTGAAAGTACCGTGCTACCTGATCTCAAACTATACTGCAAAGCTATATTAATCAAAACAGTATGATATCAGCACTGGAACAGACACATAAGTCAGCGGAAGAGAATAGGCAACCTAGAAATAAACCCACACATATGTGTCTACTAAATAGTAGTCAGTCTGCTACAAAGGAGGCAAAAGTATACAGTGGGGAAAGACAATTTCTTCAATAAATAATGTTGAAAAAAACTGCACAGATACATGTAAAGAAAAATGAAACTA